CACGCTCACGCTCACACACACGCTCACGCTCACACACACGCTCACACACACGCTCACACACACGCTCACACAGTTCAGTCTAGGACTGCACGATATACCAACATTAATTACGAATTGCAATATTCTATTAATACAAGTACACGAGTTGTAATAACAGTGAGTGAGGGTCTCAGAGCGACGTCATTATTAAAGGGCTCGATCGGTCCGCTTTATTAATGAGAAGAAACTCGCTAACTTCACTGCGCTGTATTCCGCATGAGATTGCATACACCGGAAAATTCTAATGTTACGAAAACTGTTTCAGGTATGTCTATTCATTTCTATCGTCTGTTTGAACTCGGCGCTGTTTTAGTTCCTTCATTTGCATTTGGCTACCAAACAATAAGGAAACGGGGTGAGCGGGGCACAGACACGGGGTTAATTGTAACACTACAAGATTTAAACATTTCCACACGCTAGCATAACAAAATGTACAAAATGATGTATTATTTCCTTGCCATATCATCTCTATATAGAGAAAAAAAATGTTCCAAAGCTCAAAAATCTTTTGACGATATTGCTGAACATTTATTTAACCACTGCAAAAGTACATTTCTGACTGAAGTAAATTTGTCACCTCGGTTTTTTTTTGTGTTTATTTAAAATGAGACACATCTGTTTATTATTTTTTACAATCATTTCACAATTATTTTGTGGAATGGCAAAGTTTGGGAACCCCTGATTTAAGAAATTCTCAATCAAAATCTTTACCATGATGGAATTTTCAATCACGATGCAAGTCATTTTTAACCAAAATAAATCCTTTTCAACAAATATCTTAACCACAAGTTAATTAATTGCAGTAATTCTGTACCACGGTAAGGAGCAACATCACAATACAGTAATTCAGCCTGAAAATTAGAGACATTACTAATTGAAATTAAAGCCACAGCCTGTTTCTCAACATTGCTACTGAAATGACTGACTTTGACAACTGGCTATTTCTCATTTAAGACATCCTGCATTCTTGTATTTAGCAATTACTGAATTACTTGTAAACTTCAAATTGTTTCATTCAATTGTCTAAAAATCTGAGCAGCTCAATCTGAGAATTTTGGCTATTGTGTTTTGCTGTGAAAAGGTTGTACTTCAAATTGAAACTGACATGATGGAAGAAAAACCTTTTATTATAGAGTTTATCTACAGGTCAGGGGAATGATTGATTGCTTTGGATTTAATTTTTACTTTTTCTAAATCACATTTTTATCATTAACAATATATCTGATTATATGAACAATATATCTGCTATTAAAACATGAGTATTATTTGTGATGTTATGTATGCGTGTGTTACCTTTGCGTAAAGGCTGAGGCATGGTAAGGATGAAGATGATGAGGAGGGACGGGACGTCTCTGAAGAGCATGGGCACCTCAGGACGTTCATCATCACAGTACCTGCACAAAACACACACACACAATTACACCACAATACAACACTCAGTGCTTCAGAAACACATGAAAAAAAAAATGCAGACTTAAAACACAAAAACATCTACAGTACACACAGCATTTTTTAACTTGGATGCATGATGCACGTGATCTACAGACAACACTTTCACGTCTATCTTGCCCATGCAACAGCGCAAATTAAATCATGTAAAGAAAAGGACTATTTCCTGTGGGTGAATATTCACAAGGCTTCAAGTTCTTTCAATAGAGTTTCACTGTAAATGTGCAGTAGGTGGACAGGTTACATAAACACAAGACTGCAATTAACATGCAAAAAGAAAATATTATTCTAAAAATATTCGAGTGTGTGGGACAAACTGCTGTCCATTAGAGCAGAATTCACCAACACTCAAACACGCAGCACACTTTCTTAACATTTCAAAAGTTAGAAGTAAACTATTCTGACATTTTCTGATTTGTCAATTTAATGGATTACATTTACAGTTCATTTGATTCACTGTATCTGTGGTTACTTACACTTGAGGACACTTTATACATCTACCTAAAAACACCAGCTGACAAAGACATTGAGCAACAAGCTTGTGCAGCATTTGAATGCAGATGATACTTCAAAACACTGCATCCAGTATAAAGCAATGACATCCGAACTATATAAAGAACGCCTTTACTGTCCAAATTCTACCTCTCAGATAAGAAATAATAATCGCTTGATAAGTGATTACAGGCAGTGGTTTTATTCAAATGGCTGTATTAATAGCTCGGCTAAAGTGCCTGAGGGGTCCAGTGACAGAGTTTTCCTTCAAAAGCCTCTAACAAGGTATTTATAGGCACAGCTGCCTCCCCTCTGAACAGTCCTAAGAGACGCACAGGTGAAAACCCTGTCTTACCGCCCCAACGCAGGAGAAATGAGGCCATTTAAGCAGCCCGAGAGTGTTAAGTGCCTTTTAAACAGGAGCTGCGGCGAGCGGTAACCTCCACACAGCCATAAACCCTCAAAATAAAGCGCCGCACTCATGAAATGTAGTGCTGCACACCATAATTTGCCAGATGCAGCAGTTATTGGTATCTATGGAAACCCCATTTGCGCAAGTCTCTCTCCCTCTCAAAAAGATGCAGCTGCAGAGACAGCATAAAAAGCAAGTGAAAGCAGAACCTGCCTTCTGTTTTTTTATTCATTTTTGTCTTTTAAATAAAATACCAAATACAACAAAACAATTTTGTACATGTGTATCTTTGAATGTTGAAATGTCAACATGTTTTTTAGACTGATTTGAATATAATTTGATTTACATAGTGTGTGTGTATATATATATATATATATATATATATAGCACCCCAAATCATCACTGACCTCGGAAACTTCACACTGGACTTCAAGCAGCTTGGATTCTCTGCCTCTCCAGTCTTCCTCCAGACCTTGATTTCCAAATGAAATGCAAAGTTTACTTTTATCTGGAGCACTGAGCAACAGTCCAGTTCTTTTTCTCCTTAGCCCAGGTAAGATGCTTCTGACGTTGTCTGTTTCAGAAGTGGCTTGGTAGCTCTTTTCCTGAAGACGTCTGAGCGTGACTCTTGATGCACTGACTCCAGCTTCAGTCCACTGCTTGTGAAGCTCTCCCAAGTGTTTGAATCGGCTTTGCCTGTTGCTTGTGCACCTTTTCCTACTCAATTTCTTCCTTCCAGTCAACTTTGCATTAAATATGCTTGGATACAGCACTCTGTGAGCAGCTGCTCTTTCAGTAATGACCTTCTGTGACTTACCCTCTTTATGGAGGGTGTCGATGATTGTCTTCTGGACCATTGCCAAGTCTGCAGTCTTCCCCATTATTGTGGTTTCAATGAGCAAGAGATACCTGGAATTTATACTGTAGGGATGCTCATTTAATGAAACTCAAATGTAAATATTCCAATATTTTGAGCTACTGGATTTTTGACTTTCATGAGCTGTAAGCTCTAATCATAAAAATAAAAAAATAAAAACACTTTTGAAATGTTTTACTTTTGAGATGCACATATACATACATATATATAGGCAGAGGCTAATTCAATTATTCTTCCAGCTATGCTTGACTTCACCTTTAATTTCCAAAGCCACACATTTCAACTTCATATCTAATCTGTTCAAAAATCTTTTGAATCATCAGAATTGGATAAACATGCTAGAGTCCATTTTGAGATGACAACATGACACTACTGACTGAATTACACACACAAAACATATACTGTATGCTGTATATTATGCAGTATGTAGCAATCAGAATTTTACTTTATTCCCAACATACCTAAGAGATCCTAGAGCCAGACTTATGACCACACACTAAATCACACTAATTAACCTGCAGTACTTCTGTGAGCAGTACAGTGTAATGTAGATGAACTGTGTGTGACTGCAACGTAATGTGACTTACACGGCAAAATATCAAACAGCATTGCATTTCTAATGTCATTTTACATTATTTCAGCCTTTAAAATGACTAATTTCATCTCCTCTGAATGCAATATAAGATGTGACATCTCTCACAGACTTGTGTGCCTTTACAGGCTCTGTGGATTCTTATTGCAGCAGAGAGGATGCCATTATTACCAGAAGCAAAACACCAGCCACATACCAGATGCTGGCTCATCTACAGACTCATGGACAGAGCAATAGCACCACCTATAGATAACTAAGACTGCATAAAATTATTCCTTCATTCACAGCATTTTAAATCAAAATATGAGAAGAGCAACAACTGCTTACTGGTCAATTAAGTGTGACATTTTCAACAAAATCCTTCACAGAAACAGCCATGCGAGGGCATGTGAGAAGAACGTTTAGACAGAAGAGCACTTTTGCACTTATGTCTGTACTATTGTTTGAGGTGTTGGTCCATTTACACAAGTCAAAAGGTGCCTTTAGCTGTTTCATTGCACCTTAATGTTTTTACAGTATCTCACACCATGAGCAATGCGTGTCAACTTCAAAATACACTTGCTTGTGGTCAGTAAGATTTTTTTTTTAAGAAATTAACACTTATTCAGCAAGGATGCATTCAATTAAACAATAGTGACAGTAAAGAGTTGCATAATGTTGATTTCAAACAAATGCTGTTATTTTAAACGTTTTATTCATCAATAATCCTGAAAAAAATTATGACGGTTTTCACAAAAATAATACGCGACACAACTGTTTTCAACATTGATAATGACCAGAAATGTTTCTTGAGCAGCAAATCAGCATATTAGAATGATTTCTGAAGATTAAGGTGTCAGCTGTTTGACTGGCCAAAGTCAATGTCATCCCATCTACACTAACATCCAGAGAAATAATTAACTTCACACTACACTCAAATTCTCCTAAATACAACCCAGAATTGCTCTGACTAACTACAGGATATCTGCTGGCAAATCTGATAGCAGTAGCATAAAACAGAGTAATTCTGGAAAGCAAATACATTTTACCAGCCACTTACATTTGAACAAATCACTGAAATAAATTAAACTGTGTCATGTAAAGTGATACAGCATAACAATTTTGAAAAACATCAAAATCCTATCAAAACAAAAACAACCAAACCAAAACAAACACCAAAACAAAACACCACCAAAAAAAAAAAAAACAGAAACAAAACCAAACAAAACAAAATAACCAAACCAAAAAACAATGGCATCCTAGCAACCACTCTGGTGGCAAGTGGCATGCACTTTCTCTTTCTTTGTCCATACTTTCTATTTTCTTGTTCCCTTGCTGATCTGATCTCTAATGTACTGAGACTGAGTAAATCTGGCCCTCTCTGTGGATGTGTGTTTAATGTAGCTCAGAAAATGGCTGCATTGCTGAAGTGTGAAATCTCTTCAGCAGCGCTTGAGCGTGGGGATTTTTTTCATAAGAGCTCCAAGACTGCACACACACTCATTTATACAGAGCCAGTGTTTGGATGCGTGTTGATTGACTGGTCTGGTCTGGACTGCAAAAATGCACCAACATCAGTCTCGACCTTCTCCCGGTGTCCCACAGCATCATCCACAACGCAGCATCCCAGAAGAATGGCATTCCTGAACAATTTGAACAGTCGCCTTACACTTGAATCATGGACAGTAGTCCCCTTGCCACATAGACAACTGAGGTTCAGTTCCTCGACAGTGAAATTTAATTTCTGGTGGTGTGGTGTAGTGGTTAAGGTTCAGTGCTATGGCCTTAAGGGGATTCAAGCTTGCAGTTACCAGCAATGAACTCATTGTGTCCTTGAACACTGAATTGAAGACAATGAACTTCAAATTACTACAGAGACCGAAACCGTAGTAAGTTCAAGACTACTGGTTGATTAAAGGGTTAGTTCACCGAAAATGGACATTAGCCCATGAATTACTCACCCTCAAGGAATCCTAGGTGTATATGACTTTCTTCTTACAGACGAATCCAGTCGGAGTTATATTAAAAATGGTCTTTGATCTTTCAAGCTGTTTAATGGCAGTCAGCGGGTGTTGCAGTGCTTCAGTCCAAAAGAAGTGAAATAAAAAGCGCCCATCCATACAAAAAAAAAAAAAGTGTCTCTCACGGCTCCGGGGGATTAATAAAGGCCTTCTGTAGCGAATCGATGCATTTTTGTAAGAAAAATATCCATATTCAAGACGTAATAATCACTTTAATATAACTTGCGCCAACAGTCCTACACGGAAGCAGCTCCGGGCGGATGACGTATGAGTTCAGCGTTGCGTATGCGCCGGTGAGTCTCCTGAAAACCAACGTTTGTTAACAGGAGCAAAGGAAGCAAAGTTTCCTTACTTTAGCAAAGGAAAACCAGTCTCCTCTTGGCTCATATCGAAATCCTCCGACATTCTTCTTTACAAATCCTTGTTTTGTACTTCTAATAAGTGACCGTTGTTTTGTTTTGATCTCTCCGCTGCGCTTCCGCGTTTGTCACTTCTGAGCGGCGCATGCGCAACACCAACGTCCTACGTCACCCGCCCGGAGTTGCTTTAATGTACAACAGCGAGCGCAAGCTAGACT